TTAGACCGACCTTACACGAGGCGCCTGCCCAAAAGAGTTCCATGAATTCAGGCGGAGTGGTTAGTCTCTTTCATGAGTACAAAAACAGTTCGTATATCCGTTGGTTGTGTGCAACTCATTCGGGAGCTTGCTCCCAACGAATCCCGCTCTTCTCAGCTGAATGGACCCGAACACATGTAGAGGTGGAAGTTCCAGCGGTGTTCGCACCGTCGAGTGTCTGAACTTGATGACCAAACACTGCTGTATGTGTTCGTGGCTAAAGATGGCCGCTGCCACGTGTTCGGTCATATGAACGACGGACATCCAGCCGACCGCCTAGAACATTCTGGTTTCTAAGTGTGAAGAAGTTTAATAGGGTCAAATGGCAGCACACGACTCCCCTGTGGTCTAACTGTTCGGGAGTTTGTTCGGTATACGAACAATACAGCTATAACTTGGTGACCCCCAATTGCTGAACCAGCTAAGTCCCTGATTAAAAGGAATGGTACATAATCCAAATAGGTGGCTGGTTCTGCCACACTCCTTCACCATTTTTATACTTTATCTGACTTAGCCCTTTTCTTATCCTTGATATTCTGTTTATATATAACTCCCTCTCCCCTCCCCCCTCGTTTTTGGATAATGTTTCTACATTTCTTGTTACATTAAACTGTAGTTGCTCTGGTGACTATAGTGTCCCTCTAATGTCAATTCTGTGAAAAAAGGTAAGTCTGTCCTCACTGCACACAGGAGATTCTCCCTTGCAAGCAGCGCTAAGCATTTGATTGGACCATAATGGACACTGCTGATGTCAGATGGAGTGTGGAAGGCATAGATGGGAGCTTCTCCTGGTGCTGGATTCCAGGCAAGTTAAGCCTTCATTTTTAGCTTTATACCTAGTAAATAAAGTCCAGCAACGCATTATTATTATTTATAAAGTGGCAACAAATTCTGCAGCACTGTACAATGGGATTATAAACTAAAAAAACAGGATATCCGAAAAAGGGCTAGAGTAACTTTTTAATAGTTTCCTTTTTTATCCTTAAAGCAGAACCGTCACTGTCTGGGGATTTTGCAGAATTAGCAAAGACCCTCGACTGTGACATCACTGCTGATGGAGGAGGGAAGAGATACGTTTCACTTACCTGAACCTGCCCCTTGCGGCTATCGCCATAATCTTTTGGAGCTGATGTCACGGCTATACTCTTGCACATGTGAAAGAGGGTCACCAGCATTACATATAAACCCATCAGCCTATCACAACAATATAGAGTGAGTAAGTAAAAAATGAAATACCTTACCCTGGCCTGATACTTTGTAATCAGGTGATCAGCCTAAATTCTATACAAAGTTTGTCCCGCCTGAGCCTGTCCACACAGTCACTGTAGTCAGAATGGGAGTGGAGGCCCCCTACTCTCCTTCGAGCGTAGTGCAACTAAATGGTTACTTTGTGTAGCAGAAGAGAGGGGCCTCTTTATTCCTTACTGTGGGCCCTTCCAGCCTGCTAGGCACTTCCTGCTTTCTCCTCTGCAGGTTTTTCGTGCCCTTCCCACCCTGGTTTTTTGGCAGTGGAATTGATTGTGGGGGCAGCACTGAGTTTAGTTGGGCTGGTTAGTTGCCCGATGTGAGGCCTTCTTTGTCCAGCCCAGTTTAGTTTTTTAACTTTCCTGTGGTAGCTTTTGGTTACTTCGGCCTGACAGTGCCACTGTTCTGTTGAGCGACAGTTATGCCCTATTTCCCTCTCCTGCAAGAGTTTGCGGCTCCAGGGTAATGCAGAGATGAGGACAGGATTGCAGGTAGGTTTCGGTTGGGCTGTTTCCCCCTTAAGGTGTTGGCTTGTTGGTAATCCAATCCAAAGCATTTCAGTAAGGTGCTTTAGCCTGAAGATCTCCCGTGAGGTCCAGTATACCTCTGCTTGGGAGGAAGCAATGGGGGCTCTGCTACAGGGATATGTGGGAGTCGTAGCCTCTTGTGGTCTGGGGCATATTGTTAGGGCCATAGTTTATTTATTTTGTCGGTTTAAATGCTGGATGCCTTTAATAACGATTTATTAAAGCAACCAGTGTTTTTTTTTTTTTCTCCTTCCCGTCCATGTCTCCTTGTTATATTGATGGAGGTTTGGAAAATTGTAAGGGGGATGGAGGTCATATTATGTTTTATGTATGTAGATGCACAAAGGTACAATAGGAGATCTACCCCTTAGGTCAACCGATGCTTTGACAGGTTCCTTGTTTGTGATTATGCTGGTATCCCCACTTTGAAGGTGTGTTGACCCTTTGAAGTTCTCCACTCTCTCCTCTTTGCAACAGACTCTTGTCTTTCACAGACCGTGAAGTGTTTACATACCTATGGCTGGGTCACAGCAGGGGCGGGTGCCCGCAGCAAGTAGAGATGCCTCTTCGCAAGGCATGCATGCAATCTCCAAGTCCATGAATGTCCTGTGTTCCTACCTATCTTTTCATTTCCTGAATCTCTATTCTTCAGCGGGGGAAACTACTAGCCTTCCCAATTAACTTTGTTTGTCATTGATACTTGTGCTTTCCGTGTGGCTATATAGCCACGTGCCTAAGGACTATTTTAGGTACTTTTTTTTATTTTTTATAGCTTTATTTTATTTTCGCTTTTATGTAAACTGTATTTTCTCATTGTGACGGGCATATCTAAACTATAAAATGTATCCATCTGCACACTACCAACAGCAGATAAAATGTGAAATTCACCAGCAAACTTCCATGCACTTTAATGCACTGTCTGGAATTGTTCACCATGTAGATATTTTCTGGTTTATTTAGCTAATTTAGTATTACTACTGCTTTTAAAATATTCATCTAGGTTTTCCAGTTTGTGGAATTCATTGTAACGGATGCAGACAGCCTTACAACATCACTGCTGTCAACACCACAAATACTGATCTAGAAATGCTGGACCCTTCGTATGAACAGTCAATACACATGTGTTCAGTATGATTTTAAGCATCCAGGAGGCCCAGGACTTCTACTGGAAATCTACACAGTTTAATTTATTCTACAGTTCATAGTATAGCACTTTCATCATCCAAACGAACAGTGAAAACCGATAACGAGAAACATCAAAGTTCTAGAATTTCACAAATTTATCTAATTTGAATAATTTAGTAACAGTAAATGTGATTCTTTTTACATTTGTGTTTCATCTTTACTTTAATCTAAGTGTCATGCACAAAATATGAGACTGACATAGCTTGGTTCAGGTGAGTGCTCCTATATATGCTGTGAAGTATCTACAGATCATAAAGTACTGCCACTTATTCAGACTTCCATCCAACATTTTATTATTATTATCATTGCCATTCATATAGCGCCAACTTATTCCGCAGCGCTTTACAATATAATAAAGGGAAAATTTACCAATAAATTATACAACTACAAACTGTTAGAGGAACAATACGTTTAGGAAGACCCTGCTCAAACAAACTTACAATGGTCTGTTGTTACACACACCTATTCGTGCCAATGCATGTGCTTGGATTAGAACAAATTAATGCCCAGGTAACTACAGCTCCTAGATTACAAGATTTGAGTAAATATAATTTTCCACAGGCCCTCTTTCAAACTTCAGAATTCAAGAGCTCTTTTTGGTGTTATTAGTGAATTAGGAATACATTATTTTTTTTTTTTAAGTTAAAAGGACACTCCAGTGCCCAAAAACAAACAAAAAACAGTTTAGTAGATATATCCCCAAATGAAAATGTACTTCCATCTAATCATGCATTTTTTTCATTGGGATTATATTTAAAATCCGTTCTCTCGTCTAAAGCCTTTGCAAGTACTCCCCTTCTAACCAAGCTGTGTGGCAGTCCAATCACAGACTTCCTAATGCAGTTCAGTGAGAAGTATTTGCAAGGCAGGTGCTCTGGGCAATTACCTATCTCTTGCGTTTAGCTCCACTGAGCTAGCCAAACCAGGGTGTAACCAAGAATTTGTCTGACTGACAGGGGGTGTAGCAAGGTTCATTTATAAAAGTGCCAATTTCTATTGAAATCTGCACTTTTTGTATAATGAAAGTAAAGAGGATACATTCTTTACACATAAAGCATTTCAGCAAGATTAATGTTTTAGGAGTGTGGCATATCCCTTTAAAAAAAAAATATATATATATATATATATATATATATATATATTCCAAGCACCATAATCATTATAACAAACCATTTTCTAAAGAGGCAGGTGGACTCAAGATAAGTAGACAAACTGTTCTAAAACACATTGCAGTGATACTTGGAGTGTTCCCTTGAAGGGACACTATAGTCACAAAAACAACTTTAGCTTAATGAACCAGTTGTTGTTTATATATCATGCCCCTTTAGTCTTACTGCTCAATTCTCTGCCATTTTGTTTCTGTTTATGCAGTCCTAGTGACTGACACAGCCTGCATGAAAACAAAATTGTTTCATTTTCATTTAGATTTAACTTACATTATTTTTATCTCCTGCTCTGTAAATTGAGGCTCCTGCATGGTCTAAAGGAAGTGTAAACATTAGATGACTCTTTACAGGAATGTTCAGGTAGACTGTGTAAGTCGCATTCAGGAAGGTGGGTCTAGGTTTGCATAAATAAAGTCACTTAACTCCTAAATTACAGAGAATTCAACAGTACAGTGTTAATTTTGACAGCAAATTTGAATTTTGTTTTAGTCATAGTCTTTTGACATAAAACATATTTTAGTTTTAGTTTTAGTCATCTAATGGGTTTAGTTAAAGCCTCTAAAGTTAAAATCTTATGGGTTTAGTTAAAGCCCCTATCTGTCTCTTTTGCATTTTCCCCAGCTTATCTGTGTCTCTTTGTGTCCCTTCAGGGTTAGGGTTAGGGTTGGGATGGGGTAGGGGTGGGTTAGGAGTAGGGTTAGGGTAGGGTTAGGAGTAGGGTTAGGACTAGGGTTTGGGTTGGGTAAGGGGTAGGGTTAGGGTTGGTTTAGGATTAGGGTTAGGGTTGGGTTAGGAGTAGGGTTAGGACTAGGGTTTGGGTTAGGGTTGGGTAAGGGCTAGGGTTAGGGTTGGTTTAGGAGTAGGGTTAGGGTTGGGTTAGGAATACCCTAACCCTACTCCTAACCCTACCCTAACCCTAACCCTACTCCTAACCCTACTCTTACTCCTAACCCAACCCCAACCCTCACGCTAACCCTACTCCAAACCCTACTCCTAACCCTACCCCTACCCTAAGTGCCGAATTTTGGAATGCCGAACCAAATTTTTTGTCCATGCACATTCCTATTCAAAAGAAGAAAAACTACCACAACAAGAGAACATAGTCTTAAATTAGAGGGGCAAAGGTTTAAAAATAATATCAGGAAGTATTACTTTACAGAGAGGGTAGTCGACGCATGGAATAGCCTTCCAGCTGAAGTGGTAGAGGTTAACACAGTGAGAGAGTTTAAGCATGCATGGGATAGGCATACGGCTATCCTAGACTTAAGATAAGGCCAGGAACTCATTAAAAGTTTTTCGAAAATTGGGAAGCCTAGATGGGCCAAATGATTCTTATCTGCAATCTCATTCTATGTTTCTCCCCCCTCCCCCCAGCCTCTATGTGTGTCTCTTTCTCTCCACACCCACATTTATATATTTCTTCCCCCCTCAAGAACCTTGTCTCTTTCTCCCCAACCACTCCATGCATCTGATCTCCCCCACGTCTCATTCCACGAACCATGTGTCTCAATTTCTCCACCCAGCCCCTCCACGTGTTTCATTACCCCAAGCCCCTCTGTGTGCTCATTTCATCCAGTCTCTTTATGTGTCTCATTCTCCCAACTCCCCATGTGTCTCATTCCCCCAGCTCCCCATGTGTCTCTTTCCCCTAGCCTCCCATGTGTCTCATTCCCCCAGCCCCCCATGTGTCTCATTCCACCAGCCCCCCCATGTGTCTTATTCCCCAAGCCCTCCTCATGTTTCTCCTTCCCCCAGCCTTCCTCATGTGTCTCATTCCCCCAGCGCACCTCATGTGTCTCATTCCCCCAGTTCCCCTCATGTGTCTCATTTCCCTAGCCCCCCATGTGTCTCAATCCATCAGCATCACCCTGTGTATTGATTCACAATTGCCATCAGTCCCTTCCCTCTCCTGTCCCTCACTGGCTATCTCCGCATATAACACTACCCTCACTTTGGCCTTGAAAGCTGCAGCCCCGCTCCAAACATACACCTCGAGGAGGACACGCCCCCAACCATGGCATACTAAATCAACACGCTACCTGCAAAGTTGCTCCCGTTGTGCTGAACGCTCCTGGAGGATGTATCACACCCAGTTAGGCTTTCTCCATTATAGATTCATATTGTGTTTATACAGTGCAGCCCTTGCCCTCGCCAAACAGTCATACTTTTCCTCTCTCATTAGTTCATACTCCCGAAATCCCAGGCGTTTCTTTGACACCTTTAACTCTCTTCTTCGCCCTGCTGTGGCCACCCCTCAAACTAACCTTACAGCCAATAGCTTTGGATGCTACTTTACCGACAAGATTAAACAGCTAAGGAAAGAATTCTCCCTACCTTGCCGTTCTCTTTCTCAACCACACGTAGATCATGCCTTTCCTACCCTTCAGACTTTCTCCCCAACTACTGAACAAGAGGTGGCTGTGCTTCTCCTTTCCTCTCGCCCCACCACTTGCCAGCTCGATCCTGTCCCATCTCACCTTATCAGATCTCTCTCCCCTTGTCTTGTGCCTTCCCTAACACACATCTTCAACTGCTCTCTCTTTTCTGGTGTTGTCTTTGCTGACCTTAAACATGCCACTATAGTACTTATCCTGAAAAAAACATCTCTTGACCAGTCCTCCCCTCTAACTATCGTCCCATATCCCTGCTCCATTTTTCCTCAAAGTTTCTGGAAAGACTTGTCTTTACCTGTATGTCTCACTTCCTCAATTCCAACTCTCTCCTTAGCCCTCTTCAATCTGGCTTCTATCCTCTCCCCTCTACTGAGACTGCTCTTATCAAAGTTACTAACAATCTAATTTCAGCTAAATCCAAATCCACTACGCCATACTAATTCTTCTTGACCTCTCTGCTGCCTTTGACACCGTTGATAATGCTCTCCTTCTTCAAACTCTTCAATCACTCGGTCTCTGTGACTCTGTCCTCTCATGGTTTTCCTCCTATCTCTCCCAATGCTCATTCAGTGTCTCCTTTTCTAATGACACCTCCTCCCCTTGTCCTGTCTCAGTTGGAGTCCCCCAAGGCTCTGTCCTTGGTCCGCTTCTATTTTCTCTTCATATTGCCACTCTTGGCAAACTTATTACCTCTTTTGGATTTGACTACCACCTGTACGCTGATGACACCCAGATATTTCTCTAATCCCCAGACCTCTCCCCTGCCGTCCTGCAACGTGTCACTGCTTTCCTATCTTCCATCTCTGACTGGATGGCTGCTCCTACCGGTCGGTTAACGTCTTTCGCTCCGCGATTTCGGCGGCCCACACCCCCGTAGGGGACATCCCGGTCGGCAAAGACCCCCTCGTCTGCCGCCTGCTCCGTGATATGCGGCTCCGCCGCCCCCCAGCTCCCAGGTACTCTCATCTATGGGATGTTGGGCTGGTTCTCCGTTTTTTCAGGGATTGGCTCCCTAACGACCGCCTCTCCCTACGCCAATTGTCAGCTAAGTGCGCTTTTCTGCTCTGTCTCGTGTCCTTTCGACGGGTATCAGACGTTCGAGCCTTCGACGTTGACGCCTTTGAGATTGCCCCGGAGTGGGTCACATTCCACGTTTCCCGTCGCACTAAGTCGGGTTCGACTTCGGTATTCTACCCTTTTTTCCCAGACGATCCGCAACTCTGCGTCGTGTCCACCCTGCGCAGATACGTTTCGGTTACCTCCTCGCTCCGGAACTCGGCGTCGGGCCAACTCCTAGTCTCCTATGTTCGCCCCCACGCGCCGGTCTCGGTCACCACACTGGCCCAATGGATTCGCTGGATCCTCTCACTCGCCGGTATAGACCCTACTTTTGGCGCCCACTCCGTTCGAGGGGCGGCGGCTTCCTCAGCCTTCCTAGCGGGGGCGTCACTGTCAGACATCCTCCGAGCGGCGGATTGGTCTCGGGAACCCACTTTCCGTACCTTTTATTTTCGCACTCCCCCTTCTGCTGGGACATCTCTCCTTCAGCGTTAAAATTGCAAAATAGGAAGCCTCCTGTCATGTTATAAAATTGAAGATTATGCTAGCTTTAGTGTACTAATAATCTTAATTTTAATAAGGACAGGAGGCGAGTATTTTCCCTCCCTTTTGTTCCCTACCCTGACTCCTCGGGGGAGTGGATCTCAAGGTGACGGACGTTTTGTTTTGGCTTGTCAGTGCTTTTCTACTTTCTTTGGGGTGCATGCAGCTTCTACCCCGTCTCTCATCCCAGAACTAGGTCTTAGACAGCCAGGTTACGTTGCACCACGTAATTACACATAACACGTAATTAAC